CTTTATTTATATAGAAGATTCATTAATCAAGAAAACTTAATATCATTAAATTAATTTTAGCTTAAATATAACATCACATTGTTAATAGATGCCTTTTAGTCTATTGAAATTAGCCATTATCAACTAAAATAAAAAAAAAATCACTTTTTAGCTGAATTATTCATACCTACCTATAATTAAATAATTTTACGATTTGAGTAAAGTGGCTAATCTGAAATTCAAAGAATAAGTAATAATACTCCAACTATAAAGTTTTAAGGTTAGCTTTTTGTTTTAGTTCTATACATCAAGTAATAATTTCGGTTAAATCTAAGGCTACAATTATTTTACAATTTAAACACTACAATAAAAATAATTCAAAAGTATTTTTACTTATGTCAAAATTAAGTTTAAAAAACTCAAGAAAAAGTAGAAGTTATATTTAAATCAAGAATTTTAATTTTACTGTGAATAAAATGATATTAAGAAATACTTGTTTATTTTTATCTCAGATATCTCATCTTAATTAAATTTTGAGAAACTTAGGTCTTAAATCATAATAATATCAATTATATCAATAAATTTCATTATTAAATAATAATGATAGTGTCTTAGTATATGTTTCTTCTTAACATGATAAATAAATAATAAATAAATAAAATAGAAAGAGCGGATAAATCACAGATTTCATCGACAATTTTCAGAAAGAGAGAAATTGGATACTATGAATATTGAAAAATTAAATGAAATTATAAGAGTTGATAAGATTGTAAGATAGAATAGAAATTATACATGAATTTTGTTTTTGAAAGAAATTTTTCGATAAATTTTAGTTACATTCAATAATTTCTACTCCTTAATCATTTATAAGCTGGGGAAGTCTCTGAATTGATTGACTCTACAAGATCATTCTCTACAAGTCTATTTATTAATATTGGAGAATTTAATGCACTAATTTCTGTAAATAAAAATATCTAAAATATTTACCTTGAATTTTATTATCTACGAAGAGGATTGTTGAAAACGAAGCACACATCAATAAAACAGGTGTATTTAAGAAAAATATACTTAAGTAATTTGTTTAGGAATACACTAATTTTACAATTGCTCACAGACTGAATATAATTGCAGATTATGAGAAAGTTTTAGTCATAAACAACAATAACATTTATTGAGTTAGATTATACTTTCAATTTGATGGCATAATCATTCAATTCAACAGAAATATCTAAACAAACCCTTTTGTAATCATTCAAAACTAATTAAATATTTTTCAAATAACTCAAAGATAGCTTATCAATATTATAACCTTTATTACTATTCTTAAATCATAAAAAAAGAATTATTCTAATTCATTATGTATCATTTGTTGTCTCTTCATTAAAGTCATTTATCTTCATTACATTTTTATCAACAAGAATCATCAATTTGGTAAGAATTTCATACTCAATTATCAATTATCAATACAATAAAGTTATAAAAACATTGGGATGAAACATCACTTAACTTATTCTCCATATACATTGTATTTTTCTAGAAAAATGGCAACATACCTAATTATTCATAGCCAATTTTGTAAAATCTTTTTATGAATTATGATTTTAAATAAATTCCTAACTTAATCCTAATTAATTGCTTTTGCATTTTCCTCATTTTTAATTTTCCGAGATTAAATTTTCAATGACAAAATATTACCCAAACCTTTTAATCAATTTTAAGGTAATAAAAAAGACAGTTACTAAAATTTGTGATACTTAAAAACTAGATTTTATTTGAATTTCTTATTATTACAATACCAGCTCTTTACTAAATATATTCTTCTTTGAAATATTGTGGGATTTATGATATAATTGACTCGAAAGTCAGACATTAAAATTAAATAATAGAATTTATATTTTAAAAAATTTATTAATTTTATTGAATTATTATTTTTTTTTCGATTACTCACAATTTGAAAAATATATACTTTTAACAAGTTCAAATCTCCTCTGTAGGATAAAAAAATGTTATTCAAATTTATCAAACATAAATTGATAGAGGGCACTGTTATATATTCTTTCGAATAATACTATTGAATTAATGAAATAAATAGCATTCAAATTTGAAATATTCAATTAATAATATTTATTTTACTCATTATTTTCCATAACAGACATAATATTAGAATGTGTAATTCATCTTTGTTAATTTAAACTTTAGCATATTTAAAATCAAGGTTAATTGCTTTGAAATAATCATTAAATGCCTTTTCTTTATCACCCATCTCCTCATACAACATACCTAATGTTAATCTAAAATATTCACCTCTTTTAATGAAAACTTATGGTAATTTAGAGCCATTTTTTATTGCTGAACAATAATCATCTAATGCCCTTTTCTTATCACCCATTTATTCATACAATACACCTAAAGCTAATTCGAAATATTCACCTCTGTTGAAAAATGTTTCCTAGTTCTTAAGATCAAATATTATTGCTTAATTGTAATCATTTAATGCCTTTTCTTTATCACCAATTTATTCATACAATAAACCTTATTAATAATGAATGTAACTAACCTCTTTGAGCAAAGGCATCATGATATTGAGGACTAATTTTTATTGCTTCATTGTAATCCTTGAATGCATTCTGTATATCTCTCATTTGAACAAATAATAACCCTAATGTAAGGCTATATTATATACCTCTATTTAAGTAAGCTTCAGGTGATTGATTTTTTTTTATAGCTTAATTCAAATCATTTAGTGCTTTTTCTTTTTCACCAATTTATTTATACAACAAACCTAATATTAATTTACAGCATAAACCTCTTTTGAATAAAGCTTGATGATTAGCTTAGATTTTTATTGATGAATTGTAATCATCTAATGCCTTTTCTTTATCACCAATCTTTTCATACAATTCACCTACTATTAATAAGAATTATCTACCTCTTGAAAAGAAGATTTCATAAGATCTAGGATGACATATTAGTGCTTTGTTACAACAATCTAACCCATTTTTAAAATCACCCATATCAATAGATGATTCAACTTTAATTGTACTAAAAACATACTTTTTGAAATGAAGTATCTAGTGGTTGACTGAATGTGGCTATAGCATTTTTTGTTATCTTGTATTGCCTTTTCAAATTATCCTAATTCGATAAGTAAGGTATCTATAATGAAATTTGACATTACATCTTTTACTGTAAAATCCTTTTTGGGTAGGATCAAGTTTTATTGCTTAATTGTAATCATCTAATGCCTTTGCTTAAAAACCAATCTTTTCATACAATTCACCTACTATTAATAAGTATTCTCTACCTCTTGAAAAGAAGATTTCTGGTTAGTGAGGATCAAATGATAATGCATAACTATAATACTTTATTGCCTATTAATATTGGTTGTGTCCTTCTGCATATTTACCTAATGTAATAAATAACAATTAACCTTTTCTTACAAAAATTCCAACAAGTTGAGGATCAAGTGTTAAAGCAAATCTATAATACTTTAATGCCTTATATTAATCCCCTTTTTCTTGATAATTGTCACCTAATATAAAAAGTAATAATTAACCTTTTTTTACGAAGGCTTCGGCTAGTTCAGGATTAAGAATTAATGCTTAAGCATAATCACTTTATGCTTTTACTTTATCACCCATTTTATCAAACAATTTAGCTAAAATTAATTGTAAAAAATTACCTCTCTTTAAAAAATTTTCAGATGATGAAGGATCAAGTAGTATTGCAAGATTGTACAATTTTAATGCTTCTTATCCAATACCTAAACGCTTAAACATATAACCTAACATTGATTGAAAAAATTCACCTTGCGATTAGTATTTTTGAGATAATTGAGAATCAAAATGACTTGCTAAACATAAATCATCATAGGCACTTTGAGAATCTCCCAATTGTAAATTTAATACACCTAAAGATATGTTTAAAATAAACTTCTGAAGGCGTAAACCACAGCTACTTGTGGATCATAAGATAACAATAAATTACAACAATTGATTGCTTTTTCTACATGGCCTTGAATGCTATATTATTAACCTAAAATGAATATATTAATCCACATTTAAATAATAAGAAATCCTATGCATTTGGTTCAATGCACATCGCTGAATACAAATCAGTTAATGCTTTTTCAAAGTCTCCCATAGTGTAAAAACTTAAGCCTAATGTAGATTTGATAGTTAACTTCTGTAAATGTATACCTATGAATATTGGGGATCAAGTTGTAATAATAAATTATAATCATTTAATGCTTTGTCCTACTCTCCAATATCTTGATATAAATTGCCTATTTAATTAATTGAAATAATATTAACCTCTGTGAATATAGGCACTTGTATATTTTTGATCAAGTTGGATTGCTTGATTATAGTCATTTAATGCTTTATCTTTTTCACCAATATCTTGATATAAATTGCCTATTTAATTAATTGAAATATTATTTACCTCTATTAACATAAGCACTTGTATATTTTGAATCAAGATGGATTGCTTGATTATAGTAATTTAATGCTTTATTTTTGTCACCAATATTATAATATAAATTGCCTAATTAGTAAAGTGTAATAGTATTCACCTCTGTTATTATAGAATGTTGCATCTTTTGGATCAAGTTGGATTACTTGATTAGAGTCATTTGATGCTGTATCTTTGTCACCAATATCAAAATTTAATAAGCCTAATATATTAATTGTAAAAGTATTCACCTATACTAATGTAAGCAATTATAAATTTTATATCAAGTTTAATTGCTTGATTATAATCATTTTACGCTATATCTTTGTAAACAAAAATATTTTAATTGCAATAGTTTCCAACTCTTTTATTATAGGCTGTTGCATCTTTTGGATCAAGTTGGATTACTTGATTAGAGTCATTTAAGGCTTTATCTTTGTCACTAATAGTTTAATAAGCAACACCTAAAATATTAAATGTAATAGTATTCACCTCTCTTAAAATAGGCATTTGTAAATTTTGGATCAAGTTGGATTGCTTAATTGAAGTCATTTAAGGCTTTATCTTTGCTACCAATATTTTAATATACAACGCCTAAAATATTAAGTGTTATAGTATTCACCTCTGTAAACGTAAGCTGTTGCATTATTTGGATCTAGTTGGATTGCTTGATTATAGTCATTTAACGCTTTATCTCTCTCACCAATATCCAAATATAAACTGCCTAATATATTAAGTGTTATAGTATTCACCTCTGTAAACGTAAGCTGTTGCATTATTTGGATCTAGTTGGATTACTTGATTATAGTCATTTAACGCTTTATCTCTCTCACCAATATCCAAATATAAACTGCCTAATATATTAAGTGTTATAGTATTCACCTCTGTAAACGTAAGCTGTTGCATTATTTGGATCTAGTTGGATTACTTGATTATAGTCATTTAACGCTTTATCTCTCTCACCAATATCCAAATATAAACTGCCTAATATATTAAGTGTTATAGTATTCACCTCTGTAAACGTAAGCTGTTGCATTATTTGGATCTAGTTGGATTACTTGATTATAGTCATTTAACGCTTTATCTCTCTCACCAATATCCAAATATAAACTGCCTAATATATTAAGTGTTATAGTATTCACCTCTGTAAACGTAAGCTGTTGCATTATTTGGATCTAGTTGGATTACTTGATTATAGTCATTTAACGCTTTATCTCTCTCACCAATATCCAAATATAAACTGCCTAATATATTAAGTGTTATAGTATTCACCTCTGTAAACGTAAGCTGTTGCATTATTTGGATCTAGTTGGATTACTTGATTATAGTCATTTAACGCTTTATCTCTCTCACCAATATCCAAATATAAACTGCCTAATATATTAAGTGTTATAGTATTCACCTCTGTAAACGTAAGCTGTTGCATTATTTGGATCTAGTTGGATTACTTGATTATAGTCATTTAACGCTTTATCTCTCTCACCAATATCCAAATATAAACTGCCTAATATATTAAGTGTTATAGTATTCACCTCTGTAAACGTAAGCTGTTGCATTATTTGGATCTAGTTGGATTACTTGATTATAGTCATTTAACGCTTTATCTCTCTCACCAATATCCAAATATAAACTGCCTAATATATTAAGTGTTATAGTATTCACCTCTGTAAACGTAAGCTGTTGCATTATTTGGATCTAGTTGGATTACTTGATTATAGTCATTTAACGCTTTATCTCTCTCACCAATATCCAAATATAAACTGCCTAATATATTAAGTGTTATAGTATTCACCTCTGTAAACGTAAGCTGTTGCATTATTTGGATCTAGTTGGATTACTTGATTATAGTCATTTAACGCTTTATCTCTCTCACCAATATCCAAATATAAACTGCCTAATATATTAAGTGTTATAGTATTCACCTCTGTAAACGTAAGCTGTTGCATTATTTGGATCTAGTTGGATTACTTGATTATAGTCATTTAACGCTTTATCTCTCTCACCAATATCCAAATATAAACTGCCTAATATATTAAGTGTTATAGTATTCACCTCTGTAAACGTAAGCTGTTGCATTATTTGGATCTAGTTGGATTACTTGATTATAGTCATTTAACGCTTTATCTCTCTCACCAATATCCAAATATAAACTGCCTAATATATTAAGTGTTATAGTATTCACCTCTGTAAACGTAAGCTGTTGCATTATTTGGATCTAGTTGGATTACTTGATTATAGTCATTTAACGCTTTATCTCTCTCACCAATATCCAAATATAAACTGCCTAATATATTAAGTGTTATAGTATTCACCTCTGTAAACGTAAGCTGTTGCATTATTTGGATCTAGTTGGATTACTTGATTATAGTCATTTAACGCTTTATCTCTCTCACCAATATCCAAATATAAACTGCCTAATATATTAAGTGTTATAGTATTCACCTCTGTAAAGGTAAGCTGTTGCATTATTTGGATCTAGTTGGATTGCTTGATTATAGTCACTTAATGCTTAATCTTTGCTACCAATATTGTAAAATAAAATGCCTAAAATATTAAGTGTAATAGTATTCACCTCTGTTATTATAGGCTAACGAGAATTTAGGATTAATGCTTAAAGCTTAATTGAAATCTCTAAGTGCAAAATCATTCTTTTTTTCATCCATATAATATACGCCTTAAATTTCAATATTAATTTTACCTCTATTCAAAAAGGCCTAATAACAATTGCCATCTTTTTCTATAGCTTTATTTACATATTAAAGTTCATCATCCTTTTATTTCAAACTTCTCATAATAGTGCCTAAAATTTAAGTTTATTTTATTACCCATTCTACTATAACCCATTGCAAAGTTTGGATTAATCTAAACACACTTCATACAATCTTATAATGCGAGATCAAATAATTATTTTCTCCAATAAATTGTTCCTTAGATTTAAGATCTAAAATAATACCTCTTTGATAATAACTTTCAGCATTATTATTGTTTATGATTAAGCTCTAATTTACATCTTCCAATGCTTTGTCATATAATTTCATTTTTTCATATAATTCACCTAAATTGATATTTAAAACATTTAACTTCTTAAAGTGTAGGCTTCGGCAAATTGAGGACAAAGATTTAAGGCATTATTAATTTCTAATAATGCTTCTTCAGTTCTATAAGTAATTTTAAACTCCTAACAACAATTCCATTAAATAATTGTACCTAGCTTCTTCTATAATGCGCTAATGCACCAGCATTCTAGTTTTCCTTTGAACTGTTGTTGCTCATTTTGAGATGTATCCAAATTTTTTTTATAAAATAATTAATAAAATTTAGGGTATTCAAATTTGGTTAATTATCAAAGTTCTGGTGAATAAACATAAAATTTGTATTTTTGCAGAAATATATTTGAGGTTTTTTTAGCCAAATATCTCCCATTATATATTAATATAATCTTTATTCTTAGGTCTATATATGAATCACTAAGAGCTAATTAATTGATGAGGATGCCTTTCTTTCTTAATTAAAGAGGCATAATTCAATTTTTTTTTCTTTATTTGAGTATTTTTCTTTTAATGCAGAATTCTAATATTTCTGATTATTATTATCCTTTTTATCAAAATATTAAATATCTGTTGCTTAGAGCTCAAATTAAATAAAATTAATATATGAATAAATTAGAATTATGTGTGTAGTAACTAGATAGTTTAGAAGATTGTAGTAAAATATATTATTCTTTAATGATATTGTATTGAACATCGATTATACAAACAGGAAAATAATACTATACATCAATCCAAAAACTAAGCAAAAAAAAAAACCCTCCCATCCAATACCTTAGGAGTCATCTCCTAAACGGTAGTCTCATTCTTGCCTTTGGCTTTATTGCTCTACTA